CCTGCCGTCCCTGTGAGGGAGCCGGGTGCAGATGGCGCCGGGGGCCGCCCTCGGGGTTCCGTGCGCTCCAGCCTGAGGCGGCTTTCCTTTGTCCACGCTTGCCAACCAGGAGCACGGGGAAGTCATCGACTGCGTGCAGGAGCTCGGCCACTCGGCGAACAAGCTCTTCGGCCTGGCGTCGGCAGCTGTGGACAGATGCGTCCGATTCACCAACGGCCTGGGGACCTGCGGCCTGCTGATGGCCCTTAAATCCCTCTTTGCCAAGTAAGGCGGGGGGAGAGGGAACAGGGCGGGCCACTTGGGAGGGCAGTGTCCATTCCAGCAAGAATGCGTGTGTCCCAGACGTCTGCCATGAACCCCGGGGAAGCCCTGGCAGCAGAGCGCCTGGGGCGCTCCGAGAGGTCCTGTGGGGCGCTGTGTGTGGTGACGTGGCCCTCGAGCAGCCTGGCCACCTGTCGCTTCTCCGGGCTGCCCGGGGACCGCACACGCCCACAGGGGGCTCTGCTGCAGCTAACACATGCCAGCATGGTGGATCTTACTCCTGAGTGAATAAAAACAAGTCGCAGAGTGACATAAAGTCTCACAGAGCATGTGGAAAGAACACGTGAAGTGCTCTTTCCACATGCTCTGTGAGACTTTATGTCACTCTGGATGTGTTTTCCGGAGCGGGTTCAGGAAGCTTTCTTTCCTGCGAGGGCCGATGGTTACCATCTGGTCGGTCGACACTTCTGGTGCTTGCCCTGGCAGCACGGCGCAGGCACAGCCAACACACGGTGGCGGGCGTGGCCGTGTCCCCGCACGCCTTCCTGTGCACAGCCACGAGTGCCAGCCCCTGTCCTCATAGTTCAGAATGCTTTTATAGCTAAAATGCTTTATAGTCTAAAAGGTTTATGTTCCTATAAAATAGGGCTTGGCGAACTAGCTCATGAACCAAATCTGGCCTGCCACCTGTTTTTGGAAATGGGGTTTTATTGGAACACACCCAGGCTCGTTCACTTCCCTATCACCTGTGACTCCTTTGCACTGCGAAGGTAGAGTTGAATGGTTCAGACAGAGACCTGCCACTCTCAAAGCCTAAAACATCTGGACCATAACAGAAAGTTTGCTGAGCCCCGATGGGGAAGGGAGATGGGGAGGGGTGGGGTGGTGGCATTTGTTAGTTTCTGATTTTTTTAAGAAGGTGCATAAATTCACACATTTCTTGTATAATTAGAAATAGAAAATAAAAACATATATAAACATCCACGTAAGTGAAAGAAGGCAGTCATAAAAGACCACATGTGACGTGGTTCCGTCTATACGAACTGGTTCACAACAGGCAGACTTACAGAGACAGAAGGGGGCTTAGCAGTTGCGTGGGGCTGGGGGGAGGGGAGCTTTGGGAGAGACGGGGCGGGGGTGACTGCTAAAGGTTATGGGGTTTCTTTTTGGGGTCATGAAAACATTCTAAGATCAGATGTGGTGAGGGCTGCACAGCTCCGTGAGCACCCTAAAAACCATGGACTCGTGCTCACGAAGTGGGCGGAGTGTGTGGTGTGCGAGTTACAGCGCAATAAAGTTGTTAAAAGGGGAAATGGAAATTCAGTTGGAAAAGGAAAGTAGTGCGTGGCCGCATCTCCAACCGGCGGGACGGAGGCCTGAGGGCCTCGGCAGCTTACGAGCCGGAGTCTGTCAGAGACAAGTAAATGCACTCTCAGGCTCCAGGAGACCTTCCTGGACAGCCTGTTCTAGAGCGACGTCACCTCGAGTCCCAAGAAGTTCCTTTTATTGGGCTGAATGTTGTTTGCTGCACACGTGGGGAGCACTGTTGTCCTGTGAGTTCTGAGGGCCCTTGGACCCGGCGCCGGTCACAGCCATGGGCGTCAGCAGCTTCCGAGGGCGGTGCCCGGCACGGGCACTGTGTCCCGTCGGGGACAGGTGTCCCGTTCACAGGCGGCGTGAGACGGGGCCAAGGTGCTCCTGTAGAGAAAACGTCAGTGACGCGTTTAATCGAGTAGAATTTGCCCCCTTTCTCTGTGGCTGGAAAGAATTTTTTTGAGGTCTAGAAATTTTATTATACAACAAAAACCATGCTTTTAGAAATAACTTTTAAAAACATGGAAAGGTGTGAACGAGCGAAGCCTTCCTCCCTTGGGCTCGCCCCACGGGGGTCACCGCTGTGAGCACCTCGCTGTCAGACCTCTGCCAGTCATCGCGGAAGGCCGGGGACGGCCCTTCTGTGGCCGTGGTTGCTGTCTGCCTGTCTGTCTTTGCTGGGAACGGCCAGGCCGCTCCTCTCGAGCCTGCTTCTCGCCGCGCTCGTCCGCTGCTCCTCACCGTCGGTGCTGCCGGTAGTCGCTGTGATCACTTCGTTGCTAAAAGGAATTGTGTTTGAGAAGGGAAGATTGCGAAGCTGCCAGGACGACTCGTGTATAAAATTAGGGAAAGCGGGGTGAAGCCAGCTTGTGCGGGGTTCAGGTGGGACACCCTTCAGCACAGGGAGTGTGGGTCGAGCAGGGGACACAGGAGGACACTGGCCTAAGGCGACAGCCTGGGAAGTGGCATCTGACCAGGTGTTGGAGAGCTCGGGGCTTCACGGCTGTGACTGAGTCGGGAGGCGGGGCTGTGGAGCTGGAGCCCCGGGCACAGAGTTGGGACCTTGGGTGGGTTAGCGCACGCGTGTCACAGCCTTTCAGGGAACCCGGCCACAGTGCTGTCCTCCCCACCGCACCCTCGTGTTCCAGTCACTGTGTCCTTCGGAGCAGCACCCCACACCAGCTCTCATTTTATACTGTTCAGGGAACTTCTGTGAATGCCATCTTGTTTATGTCATCATCACGACCCTGTGCGTCCATGCAGGGGACTTCGTTAAGCCATTTTTTTAAGCCTTCGACAAAACACTTAATTGTGAATTTTGTCACATCCAAGTAATTTAAGTTAGTGACGGCTTTTAGTGGTTTACTTTCTCTGCTGGTGCATTTCGGAACTACAATAGCACGAGGAAATTGTGGTGTCATAAGATTTCTTTAAAACGCTTTATGACCTTGATAGCTGCCACTTTATTTTTAGCTCTTTACCTTCATATTGTTCAGAATAAAAATTCTCTATGTCTGTATTTATTTTCCTTCGGGGACTTTGTGATAACAGGTTTGGTAGCATGATGGAGAGCCAGGGTCAGGGAAGGCTGAAGGCCTGAGACCGTTACATGGAGGTGACGGGATCATGCCGAATGAGGCGGTGAGCAGCGAGGCGGGCCCACAGCAGGCCTAAAGGTCCGTCCGTGCTCCTGTGCGTGGAGCCCAGCTCTTGAAAATCAGGGGACAGGATGCTGCAACAGTGCTCAGGATGTCAGTGACCTGCCCTGTCGCACGCCGGGTGACGGGTCACGTGGGACCACACTGTTCTAAACAGTTCTTGGCCCTGCTTCCCCAGAATCACGTCTGTTAGGACGAGGGAGTGATACAGCAGCATCATCCCTTAGCTGGCCGGCGGCCAGAGTCGTCCTCGTGGCCGTCCCCTGCTCCTCGCCGCATGGAGAAGGCCTTCCTGTGGGCAGGTTTGCAGGCAATGTCGCCCCTTGTAGGGGCCTCCGAAGGCGCTCCAGCGTCATGAGCACTGTCGGAACTGCGTTTGCTGGGGTCCTTAAGTCTGGGGGCAGTGCCCACGACCTGTGGCCTTTTCCTTTCCCTGTAGGTACGTGTCTGACTTCAGCAGTGCGCTCCAGTCGGTACGGAAGAAGTGCAGGCTGGATGGCGCTCCCCCCGACGCCCTTTTCCAGGAAGACTGGACGGCTTTTCAGAACTCCATCAGGTGAGGGGCCCAGTGGGTCAGCACCCACGCGTGTCCGCTTTTTGTTTTTTTCTTTCACCGCCTTGTTTTTTAAGAAAGCAAATAGTCTGGACAAGCCCACGAACAAAAAACCAATGGAACAAACACCGAAAAGACTCCTCTTGCTCTCAGAATAGTTTTGCAAATTCTTTACGAACTCCTCAGCTTCTTTGGTGACTTAGACTTTTTTATTTGGTTTGAAAATTTTTTCCCCTTTAGCCTCTAGTTTTTACAGATGTAAAATGAAGTAGAGCTTGCACTGTAGAAGGAGCACAGCGGACTGCACCCCGTCTCTGTGCCCGGCAGCGAGGTGGTGCTGTTTGGCTGGGAAGGGGCTGCAGACGAGCTCCCTGCGAGGCACCGAGGGGTTCCTCCCAGGGTGTAGCTGGCAGCCCGGTTCCATTGTGCTCGTGTGACCCGTGGGCCAGTGCCTGTGGCCCCAGTGGCCTGGGATGTTTGACCCGCGCTGTATCCAGCTGGAGCGCAGACGGCCAGCCTGTGGCCAGACCTGCCCGTGGCACACTTTGTTGGCTCGCAGCCTTGAAATAGGTTTGGGTTAGGTGCCCACAGTTAAGAACCAGATTTAACATAATGTGGGTGTGTAACATTGCTGAAGAATTGGAAGCTCTGGGCTCACTGGGCCCCATCATGCAAGGCTATGACCCCATGGGCTTGGTAGCAAAGTCTCTGACAGACCGGGCATGTGTCCCTGTTGTGCTAAAATCATTCTTCACGGATATATGTTCTGAGAGACACTGCTCGGCTCCCGCTTACTCTCCCGCCTGACCCCTAGCTGAGTGGTGTGCAGGGTGCCCGCGACACATAGGGGTCTCAGTGCCGTGGCCCACTGAGCAGACGAGGCCCTCCTCGGGCCATCTTTAACCACGGTGAGTCAGACCGCCCGGAACCAACTGGATCATCCGCTCATGGGCTTCGATCGAAACTTGAAGTTTCTTGATGAAATTTAATGTTCTAGAGGCTGCCTGTGTCCCCTGCCATCCGTGGTGGCTGGGGGTACGAGAAAATACTGTGCCCAGGTTGTCCATTGTACCTGAGGCCAGTGGGACAGCTCACTTTCTCATAAACCTTTCTCACGATGGAATGCTAGATACCCTGGTGATGACAAACCCTTCTAGAGGGAGTTAAAAGTTAACTAGACTTAGATGTTTTTAATCCTGGGATTTGTCCTGACATTATGGTTTGGTGTTGAAGGACCCAATTGCTGGAGTTTGAGGTTCAACATAAAATGACTTGAAAATTAAAGCATTGTTGAATACAGATCAGGGGACCAGTCAGGTTTGTCTCTGAGAAACAAGCAGTTTAATCTTCCTTAGCCTTTCATGTGATCAGAGAGAGAGTATTTTCTAGAGACGATGTTCTCTTCTATGCCTGGCAAATGGCAGGCATCTGACAGACATCAAGTAATGAATTTGGGCTTTTAAATTTTAGACACAAAATATTTCCAGCCCATTTTCTTAAGGATAGAGCCCAAAAGCACCTGAGTAGTTTGAAAATGTAAAATTATTTCAGATGGTAATGTATAGAATTGAGATGCATAGCCAAGAGGCCTGTGACATGAGGGCATTAGAAGGGACCAGTATTCACCTTTTATATTAATTTCTAATTAATGAAACAGTTCATAAAACGGTTAAGTGTTTTCACAGAACCCAGCACACCGCCTAAGGAGTGAATAGTTAGAATTTTTATGAATGAGACAATGTTTGTGCTGTAAATGTTGGCATTCCAGATACTTGAACTTGAAGTGCTTTTTGTTTTGTTTAGGATAATAGCCACCTGTGGAGAGCTCTTGAGGCAGTGCGGGGACTTCGAGCAGCAGCTGGCAAACAGGTAGGAGAGAGCTGGGCCCAGTCCCTGGCTTCTTGGCCGGCGAGGGGGGGAACTTGACACAGCACAGCAGTGACAGCATATGGTCAAATCCGAAGCCACAGAGTTCAAGAACTGTCTGTACCTAGATACCAGGTGCCATTACTGCCATCATCAAGCATTTATGGAGCACCTGGAAAGGGCAAGGCTCTGACCTACTTGGCCGTGGTCGCGTAATTTTTATTATATTGCGGGCGTTTTGGTCTAAATGAGGAAACAGTACATGTTGTCTCCAAATTGCGAACGGGTTGGGTTCCACTGCCTGTTTGCGAGTCAGTTACTGGGACTCGGGAAATTACCCCGTAGAGACGGTGTTTGCAGTGGCGGTGATGGCGCCTGCCAGCCCGCCTCTGGGCCCCGTGTCTGGAGGAGGGCCGCGGTCGGCCCAGGAGAAGGCCCTTCCGCCCCTCTCCGAGCCGCTGCCCCAAGCGCCCCATTCAGGCGGTCTCCCCTCAGAACGCCCTCGGCCCCCACCTCTCCTTCCTTCCCTCCTTCCCCTGGCACAGCGGCCGTCCCTCCTCTCCGGGAGTCCACAGACGCGTGTGCTCCATGCGGCTGTGACGAAGCGGAGCCGCGAGGAGGGTGGCCACGGTGCCCGCGCTCCACGTCGCCGCCGTTTCCGCTTGTCCCTCTGCGCTCGCGTTTCTGAGCCCGCGGCCGTCCTCAGGCCCCAGGGGTCTCCACGCGGGTCCTCACGGCGGCGGGGGAGCCGAGCAGCGGGCAAGGCTGCTGCCCACCGCTCCCGCGCGACCCGCTCGGAGACAGCGTGGCTCCCTTGAGCCAGTAATTTAGGCACCACTGGCGCCCGATGGGGTGGGCATCTGTCACCCCACACGCGTGCTCATGCGTACCAGCGCGCAGTGGGGGAGCCTGGGCGGGGCGAGGAGTCTGGGTCTCAGAAGATCCAGAAGTGAAAATGGGATGTCCACGTGTGTGAGAGAAAGGGTGCCACTTCTTACCAATTTCTTAAATTCAGTAGCAGTTACAGCCTGGGCCCGCTCATTGCACAAGTGAAAACAGTTCACAGAGTAACAGAATAAAAGCCGCAAGCCTATCTCCATGGAAACAGCAACAGCTTTTCCTTCCGTTCATTGAGGACTTTACGCGAAGGAACGCACTGATCCTCCCAGCGGCCGGGGAGGCAGATACCGCTTTACCCCCCGTTTTACAGATGAAGAGACAGTGAGGCCTGGGGTTTGGCACAGGGAGTAACTTTTTAAGGAAAAGAATGTTTTTGCGGAACTAGCCCCGTCTTGGGATAGAGCTACGAGGCAGTGATGAGAACCCGGACATGGGCTGAGTCGTCCAGAGTGTGTCACCCCCATGCCGTCCTTAGATGTGTGCTTCTCCGCGCGCGTGTGTGTCCCAGACGTCTGTCCACGTCGGAACATACAGACTTGCCCTGATCTTTAGGCGAAGGCGACCGGCACATCCTGAAGGGCAGGGAAGCACATGGTTAGGAAGCTGACGAGGCCACAACACCGAGGAGGAGCCCGAGAGGCTGGAAGCCTGGCCGAGCTCTGGCACGAGGGGAGGACTCACTGGGTGTCGCTGGGGAGCCTCTACAAACAGGAGGTGTCGTCCTGGAAGGGAAAAGAGCGACCGTCCCCACCTGGGTCCCCATCAGGGAGGCCACGTGAATGGCAGCCGCCTGTAAAGCGTATCTCCCTGTCAGCCTCACTGCATTCCCCCTGGGGGCAGAGGCAGTGGCTCGAAACACTCCTGATCGCTTCAGTGACGAGAATGGTGTTGGCTGTCCGCCTGTTGTGATCATGTCCTTGCAGAAGGACGTCATTTTGTGATTTGTGGGCTGAGTAAAGCGGGGCTGAGTCAGCTGTCACCCGAGGGGTTTCTCTGACACTGGGCAAGTGGGGTGGGTGGCGTGGACACTGCCAGGGCCCATTGTGGCTGGCGGTGCTACCGCTTCCTTCTGGAGCAGCGCGTTTTCACCAGGGCCAGGTGGCAGCGGGACAGTTCCATGGAGCAGTTAGGTCTGGGGGACTCACCGTGAGCACACATGAGTCCGTGACGGAGGAGGGGGCAGCAGCACTCAGGACGTGAAGCGGAGGGAGAGGCAGTACTGGCCCCGCGTTGGCACGTGGCGTGTGCCACAACTCTCCTGTGAACTCGAGCCCCTCGGGGGCCAGGGCTGTGCCGGTCACCTGATCTCCCCAGACCTGGTAGAGCCCGCTGCGGCCGGGAGACACGTCTCCTCAGTGACCGGAGAAGTCCCGTGTTCGCGTCCATGTGGTTTAGGCCTGAGCCTGGTAAACACACGTCATGCAAGACCAGACTCTACCGATCAGACCGTCTGACGGTGTCTGTGGGTGACGAGGCCAGGGCACACAGGCCGTCAGTTCCTGGGCTTGGGGCTGTACTTATTCAACTTTTCTTTCATATTGGTTTTTCTTGGAGAGCACACTATCCCAACATTTTAAACTACGGTCTTTGAGACTTGAAACATTCCCACCCTGTTTTTCTTCAACTTGGTGGCAGGCCGCGGCTAGTCTCCCCAGCGGTCTGGGACTAGAACACCACACAGTGGCCCTGTGAAGGAGAGCTGACTCCTCAGGGGACAGAGCCGGACTCTCAGCTCTCCCTCCTGCTCACCCACTCAGGCCCACCTGCATGTGCCAGGCCTTGTGCCAGGAGCCAGGAACACAGAAGTGGGGAACACTCTGCTTTGTCTTCATCTGGCGGAGAAGTGAGACGGGGTGTGATAAGTGCAACGGAGCGGGGGGTGGCCGACGAGAGAAGACAGTGCCAGGTGGGGTGGGGGTGCGTCAGGAAAGATGTGGCAGAGAAGCCCCTGGGCAGCGCCTGGAGAGGAGGTGGGGTTGTCCCCGGGGCACAGCGCAGGGCGGGGCAGGGGGGTGGAGGGCCGTCGGCATGAGCCCATGAACCCGGGGTGCGTTCATCCTGGCGGGGAGGGCCCGGGGTACCCTGCCGAGGCGTGCTGCTTTTCCCCCGGGGGCACTGCGGTGTCTTTGGGAAAAAGAAAACCAGAGTTGTGTTTTTGGAAAGAGCGTTCTGTTGGCCCCGGGGAGGCCAGAGTCAGTGGCATGTGGAAGGACCAGAGGAGGCGGGAAGGCTGCAGACGGGGACAGCGACGACGTGGAAGTTTGGCGGCGGCAGGGACGGCTGTGTTTGGCGGATAAAAGACCCAACTGAAATGAACAGGGAGAACTCGAGGCTGTTTGAGACCATGCGCCTGGCGTAGTCATCGGTGTGGGCTCGATGCATAAAAACTTAAACGAATGCATAAAAACTCAAAAAAAGAAAAAAGAACACTGTACCTTGACCTTGCGGGCAGAGACAGGTGTCTGCTCGAGTCAGCAACAGTCCTGAGGGAGGGCCTGTCCCCAGGACTAGTTTGCAAGTGCAGGCGTTCATTCCTTGACAGACGCATAGGGTTTGTTTTTGAAAAAAAGAAAGTGGTGAATGCAGCCTCAAAGCTGCCCTTTGCGAAGCAGCGTTTTCCGTGAGAGAGCATAGTTGCGGAGGGGTCGGCATTGGCCACGTGTGGGGCCTGTGGCGTGGCTGTTCTGGCCGTGTTTGTTCGTACAGCTCTGCAGCCACGTAAACGTGCAGGCAGAGGGTAGGGCCTGGGGGAAGATCGGGCGGGTGTCAGCGCCCATCATGGGAGGTCACCCTCTCTGGAGGAAGGCCGGGCTCCCCCAGCAGCACCAGAGGCTGATGGTCACTTAGAAGCTCCTCGAGGTGCTTTTTTTTTTCTCAGCGGAATTGGGAAGGGCCAGCCTCTCAGTTTGCCTCTCTGCAGCACCCACACCCCGAAAGCCAAGCGCACAGCGCGGATGCCGCACGCACCTAGGTGTGTGACCGTGAGCCCTCTGGGTGGAGGCGTGCAGCGAGCCGCTGTCCCTGCCCCAGGGACCAGCATCTGCGTGACTGAGGTGTTGGTGGCTCGCATGGCTCTGACCACCACAAACAGCAATGCTCGTGTAGCAGGGAGGGTCTGCACACACACTCTGTGGTGTCCCGGGTCACAGTGAGGTGACAGTTGCCTGTGTAGACCATATGCCGTGTCGGGAAGTGGCATGTTCTGATGGGCTGGGTGTGACTGGTTAGAAACGACAGCACCTACTCTCTGCGCCTGGCCCAGCTCTGTCCCAAGGGACTAGGACGTCTTCACTTCCTCAGGAGCGGGACCCTGGATCCGCCCGCCCCGCGACGGTGCCCAGGGTGTCATGCTCACCCCTGCCCTTGCAGGATCCTGTCCACAGCTGGGAAGTACCTGTCTGACTCCTACAGCCCCCGGAGCCTGACGGGGCTCCAGGACAGCGTCCTGACGGACAGGAAGGCCCCCAGCAGGAACCCCTGGCAGGAGCACAACTACCTGCAGAGGGGGAGCCCCGCCGAGTTCGCCAGCCTGATGGAGATCCTGCACTCCCTCAAGGTACGCGCCCGGCCGCCGCATTCTCGCGAGTAGGAGCTTTTCCCGTCACCGCCTTCCCCCATCCAGGCATCCGGCCCCGCATGTGGGCTCGGGCCGTGGCGTATCCTGCTGTCACTTCCGTCATGTTTATGGCACCGCCTCGAGCTGACGCACCCCGCAGCATGGGCGCGGGCGTCGGGTAAAGGGCTTCGTTACTGACAGGGCGCGGGCTACGGATGTGGCTTCAGATCTGCGGCCGGGCGAGTAGGCGGTGCTTCCCCACCACAGCCAGGCCTGTCTGCAGCCCCTGGCCCCGTGCCAGGACAGACCCCTTCTACTGCAATGGTGGGCCTTGCCCAGCCTTCCGAGAGTCGGGCCCCTTCCCCCGGAGAGGAGCGAGGGTGGGCAACGAGAAGCAGCCTCCTCCACGTGGCCATGTGACGAGACAAGTGCCTCCTGGCTATTCCTTCAGTTAAGACTCTCAGTGTGTCCACCGTGAGGCTGCCCTTCACCTGGAGCTTAAACCGTAGGGTCCCCAGAAGTGGAATGGCCCCCAGGATCTGAGGGGGCCTCAGGCACCCTTCCCAGAGCTCCCCTCCCCCCCGCACCCTCTTGTCCTGGTTTGACCCAGTGGGGCCACCACCGCTCCCATAGCACCAAGTGCAATCTAGAATTGTCCCCCCTGTACTCTGGCCCCGCAGCAGGCTGCATTCGAGCTTGACGAAGCCTCGTTAGTGCGGCTCTGCCGGCTGCCTGCCCCCCGCGCCTTGGGTCAGGGTAAAGCAGCTCTGTTTATCTTTATTGCTAATCTGATTTGTTTCTGTTTGTTGTAATCGGTTCATTTACAATAGCAAAGCGAGGTGCACGTCTCCTCTGCGCTTTCTGAGGCTCCATGGGGTTCCTTAGGACTCGCATGGGGGTGTGCATGCTGGCACACAGCCCAGTGCGATGGCCTGATCTGCTGGGGACCAGGCTGCGTCCATCACTTTTGCTTATCTTGACGCTTCTGATCTTGTTCTCTCTTTGTCTCTGAGGGCCAGTCACAGGTGACTTTTCCTAAACTGCCAACTGACGAGCTTGTCTTACCTCAGGTGCATCAGGGCCACTGGGAAAGTGAATCGCATATGTACACTCCTGGGCCAGTGCCCTGCTGTACCCCAGTCCGGTAGTTGCAGGCTGGGTCTGGGTGCCTGCGATGTGGCACGCGCCCCCGGGCCCTGGTTTGGGAACCAGCATCGTAGAGAACCTCCCCCGCACCCCACTACTATGTTCCTCTCACACATTCAAAACATGTGAGGAGCGGACAGCCTTGGTCGGATCTGCACCTCACAAGCTGCCCCTGCATGTCCTGTCCCAGGAGAAGGGGTCCAGTAGCCATGGCCTGCTGTCGGCGTCTCAGGCGGCCCTGATGCGACTCAACCAGCAGGCCCACCAACTGGCTTTCGACTCAGTCTTCCTGCGCATCAAGCAGCAGCTGCTACTGGTTCCCAAGATGGAGGTGAGTCCCCGCCTGCCTCCTTCCCAGGCCACCCCCCTGCCGGAGCCCCAGGCAGGAGGCCCCCCTGCAGTCACTGCTCCCTTGCAGCCCACTGCTTAGCGAGAATTTCTCATCTTAATTGCAGCTACGGTGATGCCTGTTTCGGGCCATCCTTTGGGATTGGTGCTTGGTTAGCTGTGGCATAGGGAGCAGCTTCGGATCCCTCTGGGAGGAGGCAGGGGGTCTGCCCCCGGGGAGGTTGGGGCAGGTCGCAGGCGCTGACTGGTGAGGTCGTCCGTGGCTTCCTGGGCGTGGTCTGGGATTCTGAGGGTTGGCAACACTGGAGGAGAGCCGCCACTGTCACCGTGCAGCAGGAGCATGTGGCTGACCGGCAGCTCGCCCGAGCACTGCCTGTCCGTACGTGGTCTCCGGTCACGTGGCCAAGGCCGGTACTTCCTCCGTGACCTCATCTTCAGAAGGGTGACACAGTCGTTCTCACTGTGCAGGTGCTTGAGGGCCGCACGAGGTTTGGCCCAACCGTGGCTGCCGGGAGCTGCTAAAGGGAGGGGTGGTTTTCTCCCTTCCTGTGATTCTCATGTTTTAAGAGGAATGACAGTTTTTTAAAACAAAAAGTACACGTATTCATTTTGAGAAATCAAGCAACACAAGAAAGTGTAAAAGGAAAAAGCAGTAAATCTCTTCGAAATCCCACCGTCTAGAAATAAGTGGTGTGGACACTTGCCATTTGTCCCAGACTTGTCTTCGTGCCCCTCACGTGCTGAAGGCAGGTGGACTACAGGAAGAAGTGGGGTCGCGTGACGCGGGCTATCTGAAGAACAAAATACGTACCGTGCGTGCTTTATTCTGATTTAACTAGAAAAAGAAGACGAAGTGAATGAAACCAAAGGGCGGTTTGAACTTGAGATACTAGTTCCATCACCACAGAAGAAATCAGTTCTCGGCTCTCTCCGAGCTTAAGAAGAGAGGTTACGGAGACTGTGAGATCGGGCTCACTGGCTCGGCTCATCAGGTTTCCCTTTTAGCAACTGGCTGTTGACACTGAGTCATCTCGAGAGGCCAAGGGATTAGCTTGCGCACGGCCCGCCCCCTTCCCCAGCCCCGTTCCCTGCCTCCGGACGCGGCTGCCTTTATTATTTCCCTGAGTCACAGCTGAACACCCTGACCTTCCCTTCTGAGCTCTTCATTCCTCCTCCTTTAGTCTTAGCCGTACACAGCGCCAGGTGTGCAGCCCCCACCTGCCCTTCACACGCATCCCCGAGCTCCGGCCTTCTTGTTCGGCCTCGGCAGGACACCTGGGCTGGGAGGACGGGGAGGGCAGCTCTGAGGTCAGGTGCTCCCCACCAGTGTCAGCAAGAAAGCACAGCACAAAGGCAAGGGCTTGGCCTTGAGGATTTGAAAACTAAACCCTGGTGGTTAAATGTTTGTTTTTAATGTTTGCTTGTAAATCGTCCCGCCCTTTTACATGACTGGGCTATAAAGCCCCACTCTGCTCCATTTCAGAACAGACTATGAAGTTCGCCTGTTTTATGTGGTGACACAGGGGTGGAAAAGCCCATTCGAAGGAAATTGTAAATTAAGTTTGGGACAAGTGAAAAATAATCACAACGTTTCCCGGCTGCCGTCCTCCAGCCCACCTGTGACCGCTTTTTAAGGTCCTATAGTCCAGCGGGGGCTCTGGTCCCACCCAACTGCTTTCCACGCCGCCCCCTTCTCTCCACCTGGTCACCTGCCCTGGCTCTGCCTGCCCTCCTCTTGAAGCCTTCCCTGCCTGTCCATAGTGCTGGTCCCTTGGACGCTTGCTGGGGACACAGCTCAGCCCTTGCTGGGTCCTGCCCCATGGCGTTGCCCCCTCCCCTCTGCACCCCTCTGCACCCCTCTGCACCGTGCCCCTCCCCACCAGTGACTTTAGCACCAAGAGGTTACTGTTCCTTTTTAAACATGGCTCCCGTCTGTTCCCAGGGCCACTGCCCCAGTTTGGGGGCTCCCCGCCTCTGAACTGCTTCTCTAGCTTCATAGCCACCTGCCTCCCAATCCTTCTCTCAAGCTGCTGCATTAATCTCCAAAGAGCTTCGCTCCAACACCCGTGTTGAGCTCCCCAGGACCCGGGGTCAAGGGCCAAGACTCCTGTTTTCCTTGTCCCCTTTCTACAAAGCCGAGTGCATGGTGCTGCACACCCCAGGCACTGGCACGTGTGGGTGACAGACAGGGTGTTCCTTCAGTGAGCTGGGCATTAAAGAAAGTAGAGTATCTTGAAATAAAAGAAGCAAGAACAGAGTGTTTAGAACATTGTAGGGGCAGGAGTGGGGAAGAGGGGAGCTGGTCTAGAGCAAAGAAAATCAGAATGGCATCGGCTAGAGAGCCCAGGCTGGGGGGCCGGGGGCTGCGGGCACATGGTCCTCACCTTCCCGGCTCGCTGCTTGGAGAGCCAGATGACAGACCAGGCCCGGGAGGCTGTGGACGCGGCTGCAGTGTGGCCCGGGAGCCCCTCCAAGAGTCCATCCAGAAAGGGCCCTGGGTTCCAGGCTGGCTTTAGAGTGACTCCGGCTGCAATTGAGAAACTCGATTTCTGCGGGAGGGCGCGTGCCACACTGAACTCTGTAACCACGTGCATGCCGGTAACTTGCTCCCGCGGTGAAATCGTAGGCATTCTCACTTTAAATGATGAAAGAAGATGTGTTGGTGCTGAAGGTCTCCCCAGACAGAGGGCAGCTGGCGGGGTTTGCAGACCCCTCTCCTCCCCTCCGAGTCAGTTGAAAAACAAATGCAGATGGGAGCAGAAACGCAGGCGGCAGCCTGGCCTTAAGTACTGGATTCTTTGCTCAAAATGCATTAGGTTTTATTACTATTTAGATGTATTTAAATCAGAAATTTAAATCTAACTTTAAAAGTTCAGTTGTTATTAAAACCATGTCTGTTAAAAAATTATTTTCCTGTGCTAATTATATTGTCCCCAGGCTTGCATGTGGTCGCCGTGGCAAATTTGGGGGTCCCAGCTGCCTCACCAGCAGGGGACTGTGAGCAGAGGGCGCCCGCTCGCCCCTCCACTTTCTGATCGGAGACACAGGAGGCCCGGGCCCACGGAGCAACTCAGTCGAGATGGCGGGCTCTGCCCTGGGTCTGCAGGAGTGCCAGGAGAGAGGGGGCGCCTCCCTCAGTGGTGGGCTGCGGTGCTGGTTTAGGGTGAGACGTCCCTCGGCTGCCAGCTCTGCTGTGTGTTGGCAAGGCGCTATCCGTGCCGCCTGGCGCTGTGACACTGACCACTTCTTTCTTCCTCCCTAGAGCTGGAGCACCGCCGGCGTTGGAGAAAGCCTGGCCGATGGCCTGCCGGCCTTCAGCCTCACCCCTCTCGAATACATCAGCAACGTAAGAGCCTCCTGTGCCCCCCTGCCGCTCGGCGTCTGTCCCTGCCTTCCTGGGTGAAGTAGTCACCCCCCATCGGGCCGTCTGCACTTTGCTTTTGGGTGGTCCCCACCCACACCCAGAACCTCAAGGAAATGAGGCCGATGGAAGACGGGATGCAGGCCGCTGAGTTCTTCTCTGTAGTTTTGCTGTGTGCGCGTGGTTCTGAATTCAAATTTGGCAGACTTGTGGTGAGCACCTACTGTGTGCCAGGACCCCACACTCTCAGAGGGACCTGCCACCGGCTACGTACATGTGGGGCCAGCTGAGCATCCTCAGGCTTAGCTTGCAGAATCGGTATCAACTCTAAATTGAGGCAAATGTCTAGACTATGGATCCAAAAGAAAGTAACAGGCCCAAAGGCCTTTTAAGTAGTGTTGTTGTAATCAGAAAATCAACCTTATTTTGAAACAAATAATTAACCTTAAAACACAGAATAGTTCCGAGTTGTAATAGAAATAGATGTCTAAGATATACCCACGATGACAGTCACGTGTCTCCGACAGACACGACGTTATTTGTGGGATTGTCCCCAGAGTCTTGTAATCCTACCTTTTAAGATTTCCCATCAGCCAAGAAGGTTTTGTCAGTGTTTCCTAGAGTTTGTGTTATGAAAACAATTTAGTTTTTTCATAATTCGTGATCATATATGGCTTTTTCCAACAAAATCCCTTTACCTCGTTAAATAACCTGGACGGGAAGGAGATCCAGACCCAAACCCAGAAGCCAGCCCCGAGCCCTCCCTTGGCTGTGCTCTGCGGATGGGGCACCCGCGAACAGTGATCACTACTTGTATTGACACAAGGGCTGTAAATTTTGCAAAGCACTTTGGCACCCATCATCTCATAGAGGCGGAGTGTGTGTTGAAATTCTCAGACATGGAGGCCGCGAGTGAGGCCGTGGGCCTGCGCTCTGCGCGCACACGACCGCCGATTGTGTAGTGTCGCCGTGCCCAGCATCGGTACGCACGGGGAAGGTCAGGCTGGGCTTGCCCCAGGTGTGGGCGTCTGCCCGTTGTCTGCCTTCACGTGCGTGACATTCCCTGGGAGTGTCCGTGTCGGGCTGGACGTGCTGTCCTCTGTTTCAGATCGGGCAGTACATCATGTCCCTCCCGCTGAACCTGGAGCCGTTTGTGACTCAGGAGGACTCTGCCTTAGAGCTGGCGCTGCACGCCGGGAAGCTGCCGTTCCCTCCGGAGCAGGGTGAGGCGCATGGCGGGGGGACGTGCGCGGTGCGTGCCCCGGCACCCTGCCCCTCATCACATGCACGGAGTAAAATCCTGACAGCCACGAGAAGCCAACCTGAGTGTTTCTTTTTTTTTTTTCCTGTCTATATTTTACTCGGAGGATTTCCACCCGTGTAGAAAGTTGAGCACACGGGCTCCGAGGGCTTCTCGCATTTGAACAGTGTGAGGTCTGGGGGGCCAGACGGTGAGCTGCTGGCAGGGCCTTCTCAGCACCGTGAGAAGTAGGCAGGAGATTTAAGTCTCTGCGAGCCTTTTTCCCACGAGGAAATCGAACCCTGGGGATGTCGAAGGGAGATGCAGAAGGGTCACGCGCACAGTGGGTCCGCTCCGCTCGGCCCTCTTCTTGGTGGGATCCCCACTTTGCGCCACTTTGGGGCGGGAGGCCCTCGAAGGCATGGCCGCTGCCCTGGGCTTGAGGGTGATTCTGGGTTGAGGGTGGCGCTGAGGCCTGGGTTGCCAGCTCCAGGTGGGTCACCTGGTGGGAGGTGCAGCCTCTCCCGTGAGCTGCTGCTGTGCGCGTGGCCCTCGGCAAGCGCCCGCCTGCGGGGACCGCAGCTCTGGAAAAGGCCATCATGCAGCCCATGTGGCCAGGTCATTTTTGAACTCGAATGCGAGAGCTTGTGTCACTGAGCCTGGCACCCACCTGCTGGGCCTTTTCACGCCTCCTCATGGGCTCCTTTTCTCCTGCATTCTGTCCAGTTCCTGGCTCTCGTCCTCGCCCTCTGACTGACGAGCCCTGCCTGCTGGGGGCCATTGAGAACCTTGGTGGCCCCTGGGGGGACACCCACCTGTGCTCACATTCCGGCCCCCCAGGGTTTCTCCTCTGGTTGAAAATCTGCCCTGAGGGGCCACCGGTGCCATGCGGGGGACCTTTCTGCGGAGCCATACGCACACATGCTCCCTCAGCAGCAGACCATCTCGCATGCTGTGTGTCCGAGCGCAGTGTGTGCTGTCTGCTCGGATGCCTTTGGCCTCGCGTGCCACATGTTATGTGCGCCTGGGGCATGGCCCGAGCACAGTGCTGTTTTCGGGCTCCCGTTACTGTTCGCTCGTGGTCGCGGTGCAGCCGGACCTCGCTGCCTTGGGCCTTTCTCCTTGGCCAGAGAGGGCATCAGGGCAGGGCCCCCAGCGCCAGCACTCAGGTTGGCACAGGACCCGGCAGGGACTCAGACAGTTACCAGATGCCTGCCCCCTGCCCTCTGTCCAGAGAGGGCGCCTCTCCCCGACTCGAGCGTCCCCCAAGGTACTAGCCTCTGTCTCACGCGTTTCCGTGTCTCACCCACTTTCCTGTCGTCGGCTTCCATTTCTGTCCAGTGACCTTCGAATCTCGGTGTTTGGAGCTCGGCCTGCTAGGCCCAGCCCTTTCTGGGTTTTCTACCTTCGCGTCAGAGGCAGCGGGGAGCAGCTTCATCCCCTGGACCAGCCTCCTTGCCAAGCCGCGGTTCCGGCCGTGCACACCAGCCCAGCTGTCCGTTCCCAAGGCGGAAGCCCTAAGTCACATGTTGCTGTCCATGTGCTCATTTGCATTTGTCCTCTTTTTAATTGTCTAGTTTGCATTTGCACAGATGCTAGATGTAAAACAAGATCGTGAGTTTAGAAGAATCAGCCACGACACTCCCCACAGCCGCGCTCGGGTGCCCCCGGCTGCGCTCTGTGTGAGGGGCGCAGAGCACCTCTGTCATGGGAGGGGCCGCGGCCGGTTCTGGCTCTTCTTCTAAAGCATTACTTTGCACCGCCTGTCTCTCCTTTGTTTTAATGTTGCTCCCATTGCTGCCCGCCTTTCTGTTCCTGCTGCCGGTGTCCCTCTGCCCCGTGGAGGCCAGGCCGGTCCATCTCTTGCCTGGATGGCCACCCCATCTCCCCGCTTCTCCCTGCCACAGCCCGACTGACTCTGCGTGCACGGGCTGTCAGGTCACACCCTTGCCGAGGCCCTACCTTTGAGGCTGTTTCCTTTCTGCTGCCTGGGCCCACGGGGTTCTCGAGTGTCGTCCGTGCCCAGCGCTGTTGCCCAGCACCATTTCCCACGCCTGCTGCGTGTTCCCGATCTCCCTTCCGTCATCGTCTACCACCGGCCGCCGTGCACGCCGCACCGAGCGTGTGGCGGGCTGTGCTGAGGGCCGTGGCTGATCCCCACGGTGGCCCTGCAATGTTGTCTCTGCTGTACACGTGAAAACGGTGTGAGCAGTTAGGTCACACCCAGCTCAGTGGTGGAGTTGACCCTGAACCTGGGGCCTGTGCCGACGTGCCACCTGCGTCTTGACCGTGGCCGTGGGTCTGGGCTGTGCCAGTAGGTGCACAGCGTGGGGCTCCTGCTCACCGGCTGTCCCTCGCGCAGAAGTTCTGGCAGCGTGGCCACACTGCACACCCAGCCTTGGGAACACCGACCTGAGATGGGATTGTTCTGTCTCCTGTGCTTCCCATCAGACCATTGGTGCCCTGGCCCGTCTGCGTGTGCAGCACCGGCCGCGGGCCAGCTCCGGAGGGCTCTGAAGAAGCCGCCGCCGCCGGGTTTATCCGGGTTTATTCTGCATTCCTTGGTGACCTTCTTTCCCTTCCAGGCGATGAGCTGCCCGAGCTGGACAACATGGCTGACAACTGGCTGGGCTCGATCGCCAGAGCCACCATGCAGACCTACTGCGACGTGATCCTCCAAATCCCCACGCTCACCCCGCACTCCACCAAGCAGCTGGCCACTGACATCGGTGGGTCCCTCCCCTGCCCTCCCGTCCCCTCAGGGAATCTCTTCCCAGGCCTTCTGTAAGGCCAATCCCAGGTTTGGCTCCCAAGCTCCTCATGTAGCCAGTCCTCTGGACCCCAACCCCAGGGTTCCGACCTAAGTCTGGCCGAGGCTGAGGACGTTAGGGGAGAGTCACTGGGGTGACTGGAAATGACGGATGCCAACGTGTGTGCACGGCCTCGCCCGGCCTGGCCTCCCGCTCTGTGTACGCAGTGCGCAGCCAGACGCGCGTGTGTTAGGTCTCGGCCTGCGGTGGGCCCGCAGGTGCTGGGCCAGTGCCGTCTGCAGCCTGCTCCACGTGCTGACGAGGAAACGGAGGCACGGGGCCCTCGCGTAGCGGGCCTCCCAGGCGACAGGCCCACGCGTGCCTCCGGCCCTGCCGGCGCTCACAGCAGGGTGGCGCTCCGAGGTCATGGGTGCGCGTCTCCCCAGTCGCCTGGCACCCTGCCACCGACCCCCTGTGCTGTGCCTGAGGCGGCTCCTGGGGCGCTCAGGGCAGAGGGTGGTAGGGGCCTTAAAGGTCAGCTCCCTGGGGACCGAGCAGCCCCCAGCCGGGCGCCCATAGGGCCAGGCCAGCCTCTCGCTCTGCTGAAGGAGAAATAGGAGGGACTTTGCTCCGAGTCCTGAGCCGTCAGTGGGGGCCAGGCCGGAACCCCACGGCCCTGGTTCCGAGCTGCGTGCGCTAGGCCGTGAGCTCTCGGTGGTCACAGGGGGACCCGCTTCGTGTTGTTGCCCCGGCCCGCGCTGCGGGGAGAGTGGGGTTCCCGCACTCCCCGGCGGGCCCGTCGCACTGCAAGCCCCGTGCACAGAACCAGCCGGCGGGTGTGAGCAGCCGCGGGGCCTGGGTTGGGCTGGA